AAATTGTAAGGCCAATTATATTCTCAAAGGCATTCCTGTGGCATCTAAAAATAAGAGAGATTTATGGGAGGGAAGAGCAGGTTTGGCAACAACTCTCAATTTCTTAATTTTAGACCTGAGTCTTCAATAAATTCTAATTCTCTTCTGACATTTGTTTTACTTTGTTATCTTGGCACCTAAACGGGAATGACTGATCCATTCTATGGTGCCCAAATTCATTGGTGGTTAGAGAAAATGCCAAAATGAACATACCCAAGAGTGTTGACCCTACATGAGTGTAGATGAAAATTCATTTTATCTACCAAACCTCCTTGAATCAGCGAGTTCAGGTGCCATTTTTGAAGAAAGGAAGGAAACCTAATTTTTAAAAAAAAATGTTTGCTAATTTATTTAGAGTGCGAGAGCATGCACACACATGCACACACACCTGGGGGAGGGGCAGAGAGAAAAAGGGAGCGGGAGAGAGAGAGAGAGAGAGAGAGAGAGAGAGAGAGAATCCCAAGCAGGCTCTGTGCTGTCAGCATAAAGCCTGACAGAGGGCTCGATCCCACGAACTGTGAGATCATGACCAAAATCAAGAATATGACACTTAACTGAGCCACCCAGGTGCTCCAGGAGGGGACCTAATTTTAAAGATAAATCTGTGGTCATTTGAAATTAAGTTGGTACCAATTTTTTTGAAGATCACTAAAAATGAAAGAAATGGCAATACTGCTTTTAGAGTGATTTAAAAAAAAAAAAAAGAAGTCCAATCTAGGTCAACTATATAGTTAAAGATATTTTTAGTTCAAAGGACAGGCAACTTGAATAGAAACAGAGATGAATTATGGAAAGCCATTATTTCCAGGAGGCAAAAGCTTAAAGCTAAAGGTAAGGGTAGGATAAGTTATAAGGAAATATAATGGGATTAAATGCTATTTCTTTCTTCATTACTATTTTAACAGGTTAAGAAGAGGAATTTTATCTTAGGCATCCTGGCAGATTTCAGAGAGAGACATCATTCCAGAGGCAGAATCAAAGGTGGGGGAAGATACTATACTGGAAAATGAAAAAACCTGAGGAATAATAATGCCTGAAAATCATCATGAGAAGGGCAATCTGGAGCATACAAAGGAGAGATGACAATACGGAGTGGGAGGAAGATGGAGGATGATGGTGATGAAGCTGATGAGTGGCTACTGTTCATCGAATGCCCACCATTTGCCGGGCTCAGTGCTTGTATAATCTGTATGAACTTATTCAGCCTTCACAACAACAGCTCTTAATAATATCCCCATTTGGGGTGCCTGGGTGGCCCAATCAGTTAAGCTTCAACTCTTGATTTCGGCTTGGGTCATGATCTTACAGTTGGTGAGACTGAGCCTCACACTGCGCTCTGTACCGAGCGTGAAGCCTGCCGGGGATGCGTTTTCTCCCTCTCTCTCTGCCCCTCCCCACCACATGAATGTGCTGTGCCCTCCCTCTCTCTCAAAAAATAAATAAACAAACAAAAAAAATTTTTAAGCCCCATTTTACAGATGAGGGAACAAGCTTAGGTGCAGTCAGGTAACTTAGCCTGAAGTCACAGAGCAGGGATTGGAGCCCACATCTCGCTGACTTCTTCCCCACCATGCTGCAGGGCCCCTGGGCCCCATTTCATTGATGAGGTGGCTTGTGCAGGGGAGCTGCTCCTTCCTTCTGCAGTAAGAAGCACAGGGTGGTGGGAAAAGCACTAGACTAGAGGCCACCAGATCTCAGTCCCACATGGGGACTCTAACAGGCCCATCCGGCCTTGAAACGCAGCACAAAGCACACGGGCACTCAGGTCCTCACCTGACAGTGCCACTGAACAGCACTGGCTCTTGAGGAATAATGGAGAGCTTGCTTCGGAGATCAGCAAGGCCAATATCACTGATTCTCACTCCATCAATCTTGATGCAGCCTCCAGATAACTCCACCAGACGGAAGAGGGCCATCCCCAGAGAGGACTTCCCTAAGGAGTCAAAAGACATGCAGAGAGGTAGCTCAGTTAGCAAATTCCAGGAAGACAAAACTGGTTTATTCTCAGGGAAAAATCATCTATTTTTCTAGTTCTATTCAATGGCTATTTTATCGATTAGCTAAGATAATGTAGAAAATGATACCCAGAGGGGTGTCTGGGTGGCTCAGTCGGTTAAGCAACCGACTTCAGCTCAGGTCATGATCTCACAGTCGGTAAGTTTGAGCACCACATCAGGCTCTGTGCTGACAGCTGAGAGGCTGGACCCTGCTTCAGATTCTGTGTCTCCCTCTCTCTCTGCGCCTCGCCTGCATATGCTATCTCTCACTCTCTCTCAAAAATAAACAGTTAAAAAAAAAAAAAAAAGAAAGACAATGATAGCCAGAAACAGGAAAAAAAAAAAAAAAGCACTTTCCTGAGCTACCAAGCGTATACATTTAAATCACACAGCTTCAGGGGTGCTTGGATGGCTCAAGGCTAAGCATCTGACTTTGGCTCAGGTCATGAACTTGTGGTTTACGAGTTTGAGCCCCACGTTAGGCTTTGCACTGACAGCTCAGAGCCTGGAGCTGCTTCAGATTCTGTGTTTTCCTCTCTCTCTCTCTCTCTCTCTCTCCCCCCCTCCCCCACTCAAGCTCTGTCTCTAATAAACAAACATTTAAAATAAACAAACAAATCACACAGCTTCAGCCTGAGAAGGAGTTTGAGGGACTGCCATAATTTCACAAGAGTAAATCAGGAAAATGCCTGCTTTTCACTTTCACAGGCTTTAATGCATCTCAGGCAAAGTGAGGCGACAGATCTTACAGCAAGGAGCTAGGGGAGCTAACCAGAGGACAAGCTGTCTTCTCTCTCTTCTGTCCCCTTATTGTAGCTAAGAGAGAAACAAGACAAAGCCTTCTACCACAGCTGCTGCAGCTGGGAACGGAAGAAGTTCTGGGGTAAATACATAGGGAAGGAGGTTTCAGCTTGAGTAAGTGGCTGTAGATGACTCTACTGAGATAAGGAACTGTGACAGAAAAAAGCAGGTCTGAGAGAGAAACTGATGAGGTCAGAACAGCTTTTCTTAATTGAATCATTTTAAAAGTCTTATAAGTAATTCGAGGAGATAATGTCAATCTCCTGTAATCTCACTACTGTTATATATTTTTAAATTTTTAATGTTTATTTATTTTTGAGAGTGAGAGAGAGAGAGAGAATGTATGGGAGCAGGAGAGGGCAGAGAGAAGGAGACACAGAACCTGAAGCAGGCTTCAGGCTCAGAGCTTTCAGCACAGAGCCTGATGTGAGGCTCGAACTTATGAGCCATGAAATCATGATCTGAGCTGAAGTCGGACGCTTAGCCAACCAAGCCACCCTTACTACTGTTACTTTTGATATGTTTCTTTCAGTCTTTTTCTCAGAATTGAGATCACACCAGATAGACAATAGTATAATTGCCTTTTTCCACTTATATAACAAGCACTCAACCATTTTAAAAATTTTTCAAAATAAAGTTTTACCGGCTGCAATATATTCCACCATGTGGATGTGCTCTTACTTATTTGACCAGTCCTCTAACACTAGACACATAGTTTATTCAATACTGTAATAATGTTATGGCATGCCCAAATTGTGCTCCCGCCTCAGATGATTTCCTTGGGAAAGATTCTCAGAAATGAAATTACTATGTCAAAAGATATAAACATTTAAAGAGCTATCTCTATAGTGCCTCCCTCGCCTCCCAAAAAACCAGACACAGTCAGGTCTGCCTTTCCACAATTCAAACCCATGGTTTAGATGTAGGACCACAGGTTTTTAGCTTTTCAGTGACTTTTCCTCAGGCAGATGCCTGGTTCTCAACCCCCCTTACTCTTCTGCATCCATGTTCTGAAAGTCCTCTCATGAGAACGTCATGACTTTGTCTATTCAGCAGTCACTGAGGGCACAAATATCCTGCCTTGCCTCCAGTGTCTAAAGCCACATCTCCATGGTTGGGATTTGTCCCCTGGGCAGACCCCTGTCAAATAACTAATGGGGACCCTGAGAAATATCCACTCTCCTAAAGCAGCAATCCTCGCATGCATCTCCTAGAAATGAGCTGGGAAACTAAGTCTACATAGCAGGACTCTTAATGAGGCCTTCTCCTCCTACAAGTGAATGGTTTTATTCAGAACTGGGAGAGAGGGGGTCTGGTCAGTGGCCCTGTACCCTCATACAAGGAAGGCAGGGAGACTCTCCCTCGGTGTCAAGGCAATGTTTTGTTTTAAGATATAAACTAAGGAAGGAATTATCCTCAAATAAATAGATCAGGTTTGTTCCACTTTAACAAAAGATGCTACCTGGACTGGAAAGTCCTACAGTTCTCTGAATCCAGACTACCTTTGCACTGATGGAATGTGCTAGTAAAAGAGGCCATGAAGTCCTTACAGTGATGTCCCTGACTACAGCCACAGCAGAATCAGGGTCTAAGAGTCTTTGAAGGGGGTGTCTGGGAGGCTCAGTCGGTTAAGCACCCGACTTCAGCTCAGGTCATGATCTCGCAGTTCGTGAGTTCGAGCCCCGCATCAGGCTCTGTGCTGACAGCTCAGAGCCTGGAGCCTGCTTCAGATTCTGTGTCTCCCTCTCGTTCTGACCCTCCCCTGCTCATGCTGTCTCTTTCTCTCTCTCTCAGAAATAAATAAAACATAAAAAAAAATTTAAGAGTCTTTGAAGAAACTTGTTAGGATTAGAGCCTAGACTTTGCAAGTCAGGCTATTTATAATTATTTTATTTTTTCTTATTTTTCTTCTGTCACTACTTATGATTTAATAAAGTCTCAATGAATACTTCTGTCTGTCTTACCTGTGTTAAAGGGAATCACAGGAGGGGACAGCAGTTAGACTTTCAGGAGAGCTGAGTACCCCTGAGAGACAATGATGCAGAGGGAATTTGAGGGAGGAGAGTGTAGGAAGAGCTTTAGGGACACCCACCCTCCTTGGCTAGACACCCTCCTGCCAGTGTAAAAAACCTACAGACAGTGGATTGTTCTGACATGAAATAATTCCTTCAAGCAGGAAGCAGGAAATGGCTTTTTTTTTCCTTCTTCTTAGCAGGTTCTTTAAAGTAAACTGGCCAGAAAAGATACAAGGCTTTTTGTTTTGTTTTGTTTTGTTTTAAATGGAAAGAAACAGACCTAGAAGAGTTCTGATGCCAAGGAAGCATAGAGTCCCAAAAGCTAATGAAAACTGAACCAAAGAGACTTCTTAAACCAGGTAAACCAGTTAGTAAAACAAGACTCAATGTTTTGAACTCTCATTCAGGAAGAAAAGGGAAAGAAATAAATTACTCAATTCTTGACCCTAGAAATCTAAAGGGCATGTAAGTAATATGATACCAAGTGCAAAGCAAAATGTCTAAAACGAGGGCCAATTCTCAATTTCTTTGCAATTGATGTCAGATTAAGAAAATAATTTCTGTCTTCAAAGGGACACAGGTTCCTCATTTAGAGCTGTGTTATGGGGCCCCTGGGTGGCTCAGTGGGTGGAATGTCTGACTTTGGCTTAGGTCATGATCTCACAGTTGGAGGGTCTGAGCACTGCATCAGGCTCTGTGCTGACAGCTCAGAGCATGGAGCCTGATTCAGATTCTGTGTCTTCCTCTCTCTCTGCCCCTCCCCCACTCCCCTAATGCTCGTTTGTCCACACGCTCTCTCTCAAAAATAGACAAACATTCAAAAAATTTTTTTTAATTTCTGAGAGAAGGAGAGGGAGAGAGACAGCGTGAGCAGGGGAAGGTCAGAGAGAGAGGGAGACACAGAATCTAAAACAGGCTCCAGGCTCTGAGCTAACTGTCAGCACAGAGCCCAATTCAGGGCTTGAACCCACGAACCGTGAAATCATGACCTGAGCCCAAGTCGGACACTCAACTGACTGAGCCACCCAGGCGCCCCCCCAAATTTTTTTTTAAAGAGCTGTGTTAGCTTCTGATAAATATATAAGGTAACACTGGCAATATGTCACAGACAACTTAAATTTTTTGTGTATTTTGACCTCACAGAAATAAGGATGTTCACTGCATTACTATTCATAATAGTAAAAAATTGACAACCACTTCAATTCCCCACAACTGGGAATTGGTTAAATATAAATTATGGTACATCCATAAAACAGAATTTTATATCATGATGCATAGAATTCATGTTATAGGCTATTAATTGACATAGAGAAATAACTGGTAGTTTTTGTTTTTTTTTTAAATTTTATTTCTAGGAGAGAGATTGAGAGAGACAGCGTGAGCAGGATAGGGTCTGAGAGAGAGGGAGTCACAGACTGAAACAGGCTCCAGGCTCTGAGCTGGCAGTCAGCACAGAGCCCGACGCGGGGCTTGAACCCACGAACCGCGAGATCATAACCTAAGCGAAGGTCGGACGCTTAACCGACTAAGCCACCCAGGCGCCCCAATAACTGGTAGATTTAAAAGCAGATCGTAAAAAAAAAAATAAAAGCAGATTGTGAGATGGTGTGTATAGAATGTCCCCATTTTTGTAAACATATTTGTTGATAGAAAAAGCCTGACAAGATACCCACCAAAATATTAACAGTAATTATCTCTGGGTAGTGGAGTTATGGGTGCTCTTCCCCCTTTTGTACTTTACCAAATGCTCCAAGTGTTATGCATTGAGAATGTATACTTTTATGACTAGAAAAAGCACTAAGTATTACAAAAGCAGGGTGGACAATACTTTTAGAAAATGGCTTCAGAGAGACCCCCTCCTTCTTACTCCTCTAATACAAAATGGGTTTGAAGGGATGAGAGTGATAGTCAATAAACAGCAAATCATGGGCCCCAAACTTAACTCAGAGAGGTTCAAATGTTTCTCTAGAGGCCTCTGCATTCTTACCTGATCCAGTTCGCCCCACAATGCCAATCTTCTCCTTAGGTTTGATGGTGAAGGACACCTTCTTCAGAACCAGAGGGAGATTTTCTTGGTACCTCATCTCTGCATTCTCAAAGGTCACCTCTCCTTCCTGGGGCCAATCAGGGGAGGGAGCCTTGTTCTTAATTCTGGCAGGTGCTTCCAAAGAGAGAGTCTGGGGAGACAGAAGGGGCTGGATCAGGCGGACCAGATTCTGTGGGGGTTGCAAGCCTTTCGAAGAGAAGTAAAATCAGGACAACCATAGCAGCCATACAGAGCCAGCTGCTACCCTGTCCCCTTCCCATGAAAGGCAATAAATGCTTATTACCACTAAATCAGATGGCCTACAATGGCTACTAACTTTTCAGTTAGCAGTACAGTGGCTACTAAGCAGTATCTTGGGGGAAGGCGGCAGCTTTCAAACTGTTTTCTGTCTTTTGGAATTTCTCCACAAAATCACATTGGAGGTCAATGGTGGAGTATCAGGCCTTCCGCTGCTCTTCAAACACAGCTGTTTTGATTGGAATTCTTTGAAAATATTCGGCTCATGTCATGATCTCACGGTTTGTGGGTTGGAGCCCCATATCGGGCTCTGTGCTGACAGCTCAGAGTCTGGAGCCTGGATTGCTTTGGATTCTGTGTCTCCCTCCCTCCCTTTCCGCCCCTCCCTTCTCACATTCTGTCTCTCTCAGTCTCTCAAAAATAAATAAACATTTAAAAAAAGAAAAGAAGAAAATATGCTATTTGAAATAAGATTCCACCATTTGGAAGCCAATGGCCTAAACCCAAAGGAAGGAAACTATCATTTACTGAATACTTGATCAGATCCTAGCATTCTGAAGTATTAGTCACCCCAGGAGACATGGGCTATAATCAAGATTTGCCACCAATAGCTGTGTGACCTGGATATATCATTTCTTCACTCTAGGCCTTAGTTTCTCATCTGCAAATTGTGGGACTGAATTAGAGAATTGTGGAAATCCATTCAGCTTTATAACGCTGTGTTCAATGTAACTGCTTGGGTGATTTTTGTTCCCAACAGTCCCACCTTGCAACGTTTGAAAATTCTCTGGCGAGTAGTCATGGAGCTTTACGGCCTCATAGGGAAGTAAGGGCCAAGGGCTATGGTGCTCTGGGCAGCGGTGGGGGTGGGGGGAGCAGGTGGAGACTGAAGTCTCAGATTCCAAGCTGGTAGGACTCCGTGTTGGCACAGGCATTCAGGTTGGGGACTGGCAGTGGAGCCAGTCCTCAGAAATGGGACTGGTTTGTGCAGGGTCCACTCCACTATGGCTGACCATTACCCACCCTGACCTCTCTAGCAAGAGGCTCTCACCAACAGCAATATTAAATCAAACACTACACACCTGTATATACACCCACATACTGTCCACAGACATGAGCAATGGGCAATGAAGCTAATGGATAAACATTAAGGAACATCTATGAGCAGATACATTAGATGGCTATCTGCCATTCTGAGAATAATTCTTCCCATGCAAACAATGATACAAATGCTGATAAAGTCTCTGGGCAGTTCACAAAATAGGTAACTCCTGAGAACTGAGTTAAATCTGAAAATCCTAACTACTCGTGACTCTGCTTCTCTCTACAGAAAACTGCTTTCAGAGTTCCAGGAAGGACACCAGCAAGAGGCTGCCCCACGGCTGCCCTGCAGGGGGTTACTGAGGGAAAGTAGGAGAAACTGGACCATCTCAGTATCCACTAAATTCACTGGTTTCTAAACTATGAATGCAGTTTAGAATTAGCTAAGGGGCTTCTAAAACTTCAGAAGCTGGGTCTCATCCCAGACCTACTGCATTAGAATCTCCAGAGATGAGGCCCACGTCTGTCTCTGCCTAAAGCTCAGTGGGGGGACACCAATGGCCCTCCCTGGTTAAGAGCAAATGAACCAGGGGCGCCTGGGTGGCTTAGTCGGTTGAGCATCCGACTTTCGCTTAGGTCATGATCTCGCGGTTCGTGGGTTCGAGCCCCGCGTCGGGCTCTGTGCTGACTGCCAGCTCAGAGCCTGGAGCCTNGCCCCGCGTCGGGCTCTGTGCTGACTGCCAGCTCAGAGCCTGGAGCCTGTTTCAGTCTGTGACTCCCTCTCTCTCTGACCCTCCCCTTCTCACGCTGTCTCTCTCTCTCTCCTAGAAATAAATAAAAATAAAAAAATAAAATAAAAAAAAAGAGCAAATGAACTAGAATAAGATTTAAAACAATACATGGTTTCAGGCAGGGTAAAGAAAACGTTACGGTAGTCAGCTTAACTGAACCAACAAGATTCTGAACATTTTGGAAGTTAGCTATGAACCTACGTTCTCAGAAACAAGTCACAAAAGTATTTAGAAACTCTTAAGATATTCTTTTCTCCATTCCACATGTGCTGAAGAGACCGTGAGTCCTCGCCATGGAAGAGGGCAGAGAAAAAAAGCATCCTCCCTGCACAACCACCTGAGGCAGTAAAAGAGCAAAAAGATCCCACGAAGGGTCACACCGCAGTAAAAGCCTTTAGCAGACTGACCTTGATGTAGTGGTTGATCCTCTCCACTGAGGTGAAACGGGCTTCTGTCTCGGATGCCAGTCTGACAGTAAACTGGAACAGACCCGTTAGCTGATAATGGAAAGCAAAATCCAAGAGAGAATTCATTAGGAATACATGTCAGGCCAACACTAGAAAACCTCCTCCATTTAGTGGAGTACAGCTCAATATACAAACTAATCAGGCACCTGCAGCAGCTGGTTTTAGGGAATGAGTCATTCTCTAAACACTTAACACAATGCCTATTATCCCCCAATCAACTACAATTCTCAGTGAATGTAAGGTGGCATTGTGGTACTGGAGGCATTAACTTTCCTGTATCCAAAGGCTTTCCATCCATTTTTACATTTCCAGTACACATATGTACAGCTGAGTAACTTCTGGGCTTCCTACTTGTACCTGCATCTGCTCTGGCAGTCACAACAAATGGAGATATTTATCAGCCTGAAACGAACTAGTGAGAATGCAGAACCCCTGTGCACCTCAGACTGAGGACCCTAAAACACAGAACATATAACATATATTCTTCCCCATCCAACAACCAACTAAGTCTGCACAGCATGGACAGATATCTTTGGGAAATCTGTGAAGATACATATCTCCTCTTGGTTTTCCTTCACTACTTATTTATTTTGATCTTTCCAGTATGGAAAAATGTCCAACATATACAGGAGTAAAAAGGGCGGTATAATAACTCCCATGTACTTAAAAAAACTGTCAACTTACGATATTGTATCATTTATACCACGCCACCCCTCTGTATTATTTGAAAGCAAATACCAGACATCCTATCATTTTATCCATAAGTATTTTAGCTTGCATCTCTCTAACATAAAGCTCTTTAAAAATACAATACCAGTGTCCAACACCATGATGACATCTAAAAAGTTAATAATAATTCCTTAACATCTTCAAATACTTAGTGCCCAAGTTCCCAACTGTACTTTGAGCTTTCTAAACAGCACCTATTTCTTAAACACATGCAACACACTTAAATCTCTTTGTTCCTAAATAGCTCTCATTTCTCTCTCCCAACCTCCCACCCCCAGCCAAGTCCAGGATGTTACTAACAAAGAGATAGGCAGAAGCTCTACGAGTCGAAGGCTTAGGGAGGGCCCCCCACCATGTCTCTCCTAGGGCAACACAGGACTCAAGTGAAGAGAGGTAATGCTCCATCCCAGAGACTGACCTGGACGGCGTAAGAGATGGCAAGACCCGAGTAGGCGGGGGGAATCTGCCCATGCATGAGAACAATCATCAGCCCAGTGGTGGTGATCAAGGCAATGCTGATCAGGTCCAGCCGCACAGCCAGCCACCGCATTGCACACGTGAACAAGAAGAAAGGACCTTGGTTGTTATCCAGTAGCTCCTGGTACCTGTGAGGGAGACAGAATACCTAATGGGCAAACAAAGCATCACACAATCCTGGACATGGGTGATGTCAGAGCTCTGGTGGATTATGGATGGAGGACTAACTTTTAAGTACTTCCTGTTTGTACCCAGAAGAATGCTATGGAAACCTAAGGACTGCAGAGTACTCCAGGCTCCATACATAGGATGACTTGGGGTTTTCTAGTTTTACTCTTTCAAAGAAACATACTAAATTTGTTAGGGAAAAATATCTACGTTAACAGCACAAGGAATACACAGGGAGAGGAGACCAAATAAAGCTGAGTAAGCTTTAGCAAAATGTCTTAGGTCAGGGGTTATTTCCTCAAAGAAAGAGAGGTTACAGAGAGCAAACTGCAGAAAGGCCCTAAGACCTGGAAAAATAAACTCTCAGAATGAATATGGTAAACTGGAAAATGTCTGCTGGGGCACTGCTGTTGAGCAAAATGGTGCTTGTTTCCCAAGGCCACAGAGCATAGAACCAGGAGCTAAACCACAGCAAAAAAGACCTGGACAACCCCTGCCACTGAAGAAGCAAGACACTACTGTCCCCTGGGGTCCTAGAGAGCAGAACAGACTGCATCCAAAGGCTTGGGTGTCACATACAACTAGACCTTCACAGCAGGGAGTCTTGCCAGACAAATGTGCTTTGTTTAAAAAAAAAAATCATTTTTCTTCTTTGTATATTTGGAGGAGATCTAGGAAATGTAGTAAAAAAGAAAACATGGTATTCTTACCACTCAGTTAAAACCAGGGTTAATATTCTGCTATGTCGTCTCTCAGTACTTTTTCCAATACACTTAAATTTATGTGTGAATATATATACATACATACAGTGTATTTTACTGTTTTTCTCTTAAAGTTAGGTTTATTTTTTCTGAGTCGTTTAACCTAAACTTCCATTCTAGATTTTCTTTTAATTAATTACCTAATTTTTTTTTTTGTTTTTTGTTTTTTTTTTCTAATTTTTATTTATTTCTAGGAGAAAAAGAGAGACAGCGTGAGCAGGGGAGGGTCAGAGAGAGAGAGAGGCACAGACTCTGAAATAGGCTCCAGGCTCTGAGCTGGCAGTCAGCACAGAGCCCGACGCGGGGCTCGAACCCACGAACCGCGAGATCATGACCCAAGCGAAAGTCGGACGCTTAACCGACTAAGCCACCCAGGCGCCCCTAATTACCTAATTTTTGTAGTAAACAAGATACACACAGGATAGAATATTTAGAAGGCATAAGAAGTTTTGGTTTTTTTTTTTAATGTTCATTTCTTTCTTTTTGAGAGAGAGCCCAAACAAGGGAGGGACAGAGAGGGAAACACAGACTCTGAAGCAGGCTCCAGGCTCTGAGCTGTGAGTGCAGAGTCTGACACAGGGCCTGAACTCTTGACCTGCGAGATCATGACCTGAGCCGAAGTTGGACACTTAATCAACTTAAGCCACTCAGGCACCCTAGCATAAAAGTTTTACTTCAGTCTTTCAGTCTTTCTCCTGCCCATCCTCTAGCTACTCAGTTCCCCTTTCCAGGGGCAATGAGTAGTTCCTTGTGCATCCTTTCAGAGATATTCTAAATGTTATATATACAAACACATATCTAAAAGGGAGTATACCATGTGCACACATTTGTACCTTGCTCTTTCACTAATGTATTTTATTTATTTTTTAAATGTTTATTTATTTTTGAGAGAGAGAGAGAGAAAAAGAGAGTGTGTGAGCAGCGGGGAGAGAGGGAGACACAGAATCTGAAGCGGGCTCAGGCTCTGAGCTGTCAGCACAGAGCCGGATGCGGAGCTTGAACTCACAGACTATGAGATCATGACCCGAGTGGAAACTGATGCTTAACCAACTGAGTCACCCAGGCGCCCCTCACTAATGTATTTTAGAAATCATTCCATATTAGTATCTATAGAACTGTCTCATTCTTCTTAAGGGCAACATAGTACTCTATATGGGTATACCCATAGCTTGCTTAATCAATTCCGTATTGAAGGACATTTAAGTTAGTTCCAATCTCTTGTTATTACAAAGCTCCACAATGACAATCTATGTACATAGATTTCTCATATAAACTATCTTCGGCTAAAAATGTCTGTCTAATGTCAATGACCATCTTTTACTGTTCCAAAAAAAAGAAAAAAGGAAAACTCCTTCATATGTAGCCATTTAGAGTCCAAAGCCAAGAGATTCCAAAACCTGTATTTTGTCTTTTCATTTGCTTAGAAAGGAGTTCCAGCAAGTGAGTAAATTTTAACAGAGACCATTAAATCACTAATTTTCGTAGTGAGCTTTACAATCCCCAACTCTGGCCTTGGAAGGCCTTTTGGGCTTATTAAATGCTGGTATGGGTGACTTCCCTTTGAGCCCTCTGGCTGCCATCAGCACTGACCTGTGCAGAAATTCCTGCCCTTTGTTGTAGGCGTGGATGGTGGCAAGGCCCTGTATGCTGGATGTTATGTGGGAGAGGAAAGGTGACTGTGTGATATTGTCCAGACGCTTCAGCTCTCGAATCAGGACCCTGGAGAGAGAATGAGTTCCGTGTCAGAGTGGCAGACAAGCAACTCTGGCTTCATTCCTGGAAGATGTAAACACGTCTTGTTTACCTGGAAACAATGTGCAGAACTGAAAAGAGGATGAAGAGGGGCCCCACTGCCACCAGGAACCATGGGAAAACTCCAGTGATCATTCCAACACAGAAGAACACCAGGATGACATTTTGGATGAACATCTCAGCCTGGAACGGCAGGCGTACATCGACTGCAGAAATCATAAGGGAACAGGGAAAATGGGATCAAAAATTTTAAAAAACACAAAGAGATTCCACAAATTTTTTACCTTAAAATGAGCGTGCTGTCTTTTAAATCAAGAGAAAAATCTAGAAACCTTGTTTCTCTAATTTTTCTTGTCCCAAGAAAGTGTAAGTGATCTATCTTTCCCCAGTCCCTCTTTTGGGTATACTATGATGCTACCCAACCTCTTTAAAATTTTTTTCTCTTTAGAAAATAAATATGCTTGTTGTAAAAATATTCAGAAAATAAACATGCAAAAAAATATATAAAAATAATCTTTATTCTCACCAGTACCAATAAACTGCTAACATTTAAGAAATTTTTCATTATGGAAAAATTTAAACATATACAAAAATCAAGAGTATAGAACCTTCAACAATTAACAACATTTTCTTCATCTCCTTTTAGCTATATCCTCCCCTTACTTTTTTTTTCTTTTTTGGCTGGAGTATTTTCATAAAGATCCCAGACATGTTGATACCACTGACTTTTTTCTTTCCACCTTTTCTCCATCTGTGTGTGTGTGTGTGTGTGTGTGTGTGTGTAGCAGAAATGGGATCATGTCGAAATGGGATCATGTCATGCATCAGTTCTGTTTATTAGTGATGGTTCTGATCCCTTATTACTACCTCTGGCCATAGCTTTACACTGGCTTATCAACATCTGAAACATCTCCTTGGAGGCAACACAGGGTAATAGTTAAAAGCATTAGCTCTAGGGTGGAAAGATCTGGGCTCAATTCCCAGTTTTGTTATATAATAGCTGTGTAATCTTGGGCAAGTTATTTAACCTTTAGAGACAGCAGCTTTCCCATGTAGTCAGTGAATGAAGCAATATCCACCCCCATAAGGCTACTCTGAAGATTAGGATAATCCATTTAAAACATTCAGCATACTGCTTGTTACACAGTAAGCCATCAATAAAGGTCAAGCACCATTACTATTATATAGGGCTATGAGAAGTATTTAAATTCTGCTGCTGGCACAGCCCATGTGGCATCCAGAAAACTTGCCAGAGATGGTAAATGTCCAGCAACCAACGCATTGCCCTCAAAGTAAACATGTTTTGGAATCTCAGCTGTTCCTGTCCAAAGCATTTATGCCAACTCAATCCTTGGAACTTATTTTCAGGTTTAATGAAATCAAATGAGAACGTAGATGGCAGGTGAAAAATCAGATGGGTCCTTAGTGTAAGACAAGTTGCAACCTGGAGAAAATGCCAAAACTAACATGTTCCTGGTGCAGACACCAGCAGCCCCTGTGCTCTCAAACTCTAAGGCTGGATAGACGGGCATGCCTGGCAAGTCATCTAGAAGGTTAGAGAGCACAGGGAGCTGCAGCTTGGGCTCCAGAGCATAAAAGAAGTGAGAAATACCTTCATCCATGTCTTTAGAAAACCTGTTGAGAATCCTTCCAGTGGGGGTGGTGTCAAAAAACTTCATAGGGCTTCGAAGGATCCTTCGGAAAAGTTCATCATGGAGCCGGGAGGAGGCTCGCAGTGTGCCCTAAGGAGCAGACGACAAAGTGATCATGGCCCAGAGACCCAGGGAGACTCAGTTCCTATTTAACCAGGTCACAACATCACAGGACATCCACTCCCCAAGCTGGAGAAGGGCAAATGGTCATGGAGGAAACAGGTGGGTACTAAGAAAAGGCTGGGCCTAATGGGATACAGGTCATTTCAGCTAGGGCCATCTTGCTTCAGAGATGCTCCCCTGCTCAGAATTGACCCAAGAGAAGCCATGCCGAAGCCTGACCATGCAGTTACCAGGGAAAGGAGGAGCAGAAGGCACCACTGCATACCTTGACAAACACAACTCCTCGAATGGCTTTCAGGATCAGCATGACTGCCATGGAAAGGGCGTAGATACTGGCATAGTACTGCATGAGAGGATTGTCCTTCATGCTGCTGCTCGTAGAGGTCTTGTTCCCTTGTGTCACTGTGGTGTTCTGTTTGGAGACAAGGCCCTGTGAGGCAAGACTCCTATAGACAGTGAAGAACTCCTACGTAGGACGATTCTCAGTTCAAGGGAAGGTGTGGGGTAATGACTGTGGGATCTGGCTGTGACAAACACAAGGCAGGCTTTGCCCCCCACTTCTCTCTCTTCTAAGTGAGGACAGACAGCTTTCAGGTGTCCTACTGCTGCATGAGCTGGTTAGGGGGCAACTATCTTGTTAGATTACATTAGGAACTTGTCTTTTTATCTTGGATAATCCTTGTTCATTCCTTCTTTCAATTGAAAACTGAACAGTTTCCCCAAGAACACCCAGAGAATACAAAGAAATGGCCACATTCTTAGACATATAACTTTCCCATTAATGAGTAACCTTACCCCACTTCCTTGCTTGATCCAGTAACTCAACCACCAATTGCTGAAAGCCGTGCTGCCCACATTCAGCATGAAAAGAGATATAATGACTAGGAATGCCAAGGGGCCCCCAGCAGCCTGGATGTAGACACCATACACTGACCAGGGCACTGAACCCTGACCCTTTTCTTCCATTTGCACCAGCTGCCCTAGGTAAGAAAAGAAAAGAAAACAAACCCCACCATAAACTCAGCAGGACAAGGCTACTTTTCTACAACTGAGTCACCTATAGAAGAGCAAAATCAAGAAAACCAATAGTTTCACATGTATCTAGATTAGAATTATTTCCTCCTTATTAGAATATTCTTCCCTTTAAAATTTACTAAGCACCTATTATCAACCAGGCCCCAGATGAGTCCCTGGAGCAGTAAAGAGGATTAAGACTAGGTCCCTGCCCTTAAGATCTGTCTGAGGATCGTTCCACAGCCTGGTAGGAAAGACAGATAAAATAAACCCATGATTATAATAAAATGTGCTAAGTGCCATGCTAGAGACATACACAGGGCAGCATGGGAATATCCACATGTACCTAAACTACTTGGAGGAACTGTTTCAAGGAAGATTTACTGTTTTTTTAATAAAAAAATTTTTAATGTTTATTTATTTATTTTTCTTAAATAGTTTATTGTCAAGTTGGTTCCCATCTAACAACCAGTGCTCATTTCAACAAGTGCCCTCGCCCATGCCCATCACCCCCCTTCCCCTCCCCCCTACCCCATCAGCCCTCAGTTTGTTCTCAGCATTCAAGAGTCTCTCATGGTTTGCCTCCCTTCCTCTCCCCAGCTATTTTTCCTCTTCTCCTCCCCCACGGTCCTCCGTTAAGTTCCTCCTAATCCACCTATACGTGCAAACATATGGTAGCTATCCTCCTCTGCCTGACTTATTTCGCTCAGCATAACACCCTCAAGGTCCATCCATGTTGCTACACATGGCCAGATTTCATTCTTTCTCATTGCCATGTAGTATTCCATTGTATAGATAAACCACATCTTCTTGATCCATTCGTCAGTTGACGGACACTTAGGCTCTCTTTCCATGTTTTGGCTATTGTTGAGAGTGCTGCTATGAACATTGGGGTCCATGTGCCCTTATGCATCAGCACTCCTGTAAGTTTCAGGGAAGACTTTCTGTATACTCTCAAAAGGTATGCCAGGTTTGACCAGGTGGGGAAAAGATAGGCATTGGCCCAGAGGCAGGAAAATAGCACAACAATACGTACAGACAGCCAAATCAGCAAGGCTAGAATATTAAGTGCAGCTAAGAGTGGCAGAAGATAAGGTTGATTAGTAGGAAAGCTGTGGTCAGAGGAAAAAGGCATCTGAACTTCATCCTTCAGATAAGAATTTCTCAGGGCACCTGGGAGGCTCAATTGGTTAAGCAACCGACTTTAGCTTGGGTCATGATCTCACAGTCTTTGAGTTGACAGCTCAGAGCCTGGAGCCTGCTTCAGATTCTGTGTCTCCTTCTCTCTCTGCCCCTCCCCCACTCACACTCTGTCTCTGTCTCTGTCTCTCTCTGTCTGTCTCCCAAAAATGAATACATGTTAAAAAGAAAAAAGAGGGGCGCCTGGGTGGCTCAGTCAGTTAAGCGTCCGACTTCGGCTCAGGTCATGATCTCACGGTTCATGGGTCCAAGTCCCGCATTGGGCTCTGTGCTGACAGCTAGCCTGTTCCAGATTCTGTATCTCTCTCTCTCTCTGACCCTCCCCTGTTCATGCTGTCTCTCTCTCTTTCTCAGAAATAATTTAAAAAAAAGAAGAAGAAGAAGAAGAAAAAGAAAGAAGAAAGAAGAAAAGAACTTCTCAAGAGAATGGGCTACAGGTGTGTGGAGATTTGATTCCCGCCCAGGCTATGGATGGCCAGATCAGCCGCTCAGGCAGCAAGCAGTCTCATCCATGCATCCTGTTGTCCCTGTACAAACAACGGCATTTTCTAGGTATGCCCTATCAGGACAAGAATTAGGAAACACTGCTTTGAAATGGGAGGCCCCTGAAAGACTTCCTGAGGGAAAGTGAGTTAGTTGGTCTCCTGTTTTTAACTAGATCTCTCAGCTGTCTATATGGAGTGCAGATTTAAAAGGAACCAGCTGTAATACTGTAGGTACAAGATGATAAAGGCCAGAACCAGGGTCATGGCAATGGGGATGGAGTTTCAGGTGGCACACCCATTAAGATACAGTGCCTGGCTGAGGAGGAGAGAAAGGCTCAAGGGTATCTCCTAGAGGCTCGCAGAGATCAGGGGACTGATGCTGATGTACTAACAAAGAGACAGCTCTACAAAAAACCAGTGCCTTTATATCCTGGTCAATGTTTAATTATCTTAGAGCAAGCCTGGCGTGCCTGTAGTACTTGAAGAGTTATGAGTAACCAGGTCAGGGGCTCTGCAGCTGAGAACAAATGTTCCCTAAGGGTATTCCGGGGTTTTTTTTAATACTGCCTATGGCAGGAACGGACAGATGACTCAGCCTTCTGTGCTAGGTTTGTATCCTGTGTAGAGGTGTCTTACTTATATCACACCCCAATTCAAAGTCTCATACACAGTTTATGAAAGGGAAGAAAAGCTGCAGAGTGTACTAAATCGGGGTGGTCAATTCCCAATACCACACATCCCCAGCTTGAAGAACAAGGAAGTGAAAACAGGCCCAGGGCCAAAGCAGCAGCAAACCCAGGAAAGGTCCTGGTGACTCCAATGCACAACAAAACCAGAGCTTTAAAACAGACTACATTCCTTTCTTTCCCAAGGTAAACTGATAGGCAGCTTGAAATTCACAAAGGTGAAAGAAAATACCTCAAGCATTGTAAATAGCTTTCCTAACTCTGTTTGTTTTAGTTGATAAGATAAAGGGGAAAAAAATAAATAAGTAACAAAAACAAGACCCAGGACTTCCCTGGGGAAAATGCAATAGGGAAAGCCTGCAATGTAGACTGTTCACCACAGCCCTGCTGCAGCCTCCTCTGAGAAAGCCAGGAGTGTATCATTCTAATGAGGGAGCTACTGAGAATGTAGGCCCTGCTGGTAATGGAACATCTCTGTCTAGACCGACTTTTATTTTATTTTATTTTATTTTTTAATTTTTTTATTTATTTCTAGGAGAGAGAGAGAGACAGCGTGAGCAGGGGAGGGTCAGAGAGAGAGGGGGAGATACAGACTCTGAAATTGGCTCCAGGCTCTGAGCTGGCAGTCAGCACAGAGCCTGACGCGGGGCTCGAACCCACGAACCGCGAGGTCATGACCTAAGCAAAAGTCGGACGCTTAACCGACTAAGCCACCCAGGCGCCCCTAGACCGACTTTTAAAAAGCAGAGGTGAATCGCAGGAAAAAGGCTGTATCTCTGGCCATAATTCCATTTTCCTTACTCAAGATGACTCAGCTGATTGCTGACCCCTGACCCACACTGCATAGAGACAAGGCAGAGGATTAAAGTGCCTTCTTACTGTTTTGCTCTGTTTAAGCAAACAGGGTGCCTCACGGTCTCCCAATGTTATAAAGGGGTTTGTTATTCCAGAGATAAAAGGCCAGAGGCTCTAGAACACACAATGCTGTCAAACATTATGAATTACCACTGACATAAAGTTTCTGATAAACTTTAATGACAAATCTAAAATGTCAGAAAAGGTCATTACCTTCCTCTGGCTTTGCTGCTTTCTCCTTCTTTACTGATCCTGTTTTAGGACCCTTGTCTTGTGATTTCTTCTGTGAACCGCTGGTTTCTTTTTTTGAATTAATCTAATATTTAAAAAAAAAAGTGTATCCAGTTACAATGTGGCCATTCAGACAAAGGTCCATAGGACATACTAGAGAATCATCTGACAAGCTGCTGCTATACATCAAAACCTTTTTTTTTTTTTTAATATTTTAAAAATTTATTTCTAGGAGAGAGAGAGAGAGAGAGAGAGAGAGACAGCGTGAGCAGGGGAGGGTCAGAGAGAGAGGGAGACACAGAATCTGAAACAGGCTCCAGGCTCTGAGCTAGCGGTCAGCACAGATCCCGACGGGGGGCTCGAACCCACGAACCGCGAGATCATGACCTAAGCGAAAGTTGGACACTTAACCGACTAAGCCACTCAGGTGACCCCATCAAAACCTCTTAAAAGGGCCACCTATACTCATTTCTTGTGCTTCCTCAACTCCTTTAATCTTTGAGATCTGGGTTTCTACCCTTGTCATTCCATTGACATTGTTCTCCGCAATGTTCTCAGTCATTTGCCCAAAGTACTAGCGCTTGGGTCATTTCCATTCCTCTCACCTCTGATCTCCACATTGCTAAATCAAATCACAGATCTGATCATTTCCCACTGCTACCACAGGATAAACTCAAACTTCTCAGCCTGGTTTGCAAAACCTTCATAGTCTTGCCCTAGCCTAACTCTCATGTTTATCTCCCATTCCCATGACTTCTACTCTCCAGCCACATTGGATTTCACACTATTCCTCATGCCACTCTGCTGTTCCCCACTTCTAGACCTTTGTCCCTGGGGGTCCTTCACTTGGAATGCCTCTCTCCTCATCCCAACTCAGTTAGTTGTTCCCATTCAGAGGGATTCAATCTTAATCCTCCCTTTCGCAACTCCTCCAGAAGAGAGCTCACCCCTCCCCTGTTCACCCAGGCACTTGGTAAGTACTCTATTATAGCATGCTGCTGCAAACGTGACCTGGTGCTACAGTTCCCTGTAACACCATAAGAGCATTGGTCTTCCCTAGGAGACTGCGGGTCCCTCAGGAATGGAGAGGATGTCTGACTCACCGTGATAACCTAAATAGGGCCCAGCCCTAAGCACTGCCCATAATAGGACACAAATGGACTTCATATAAACACTCATCAGGGACACCTTGGGTCGCTCAGTTGGTTAAGCGCCCGACTCTTGGCTTTGGCTCAGGGCATGATCTCATGGCTCATGAGTTCGAGCCCCACACTGGGCTCCTCAGGTTGGGCTCCACACATCAGGCTCCACACTGGCAGTGTGGGGCCTGTTTGGTAATCTCTCCCTCTCTCTCTCTGCACCTCCCCTGCTTGTGTGTGAGTGCACTCTCTCTCAAAATAATAAACAAACTTAAAAAAAAAAAAAAGATGAGGAAACTGAAGCTCAGGAAAGTTAAGTGACATTTTGAAAGTATGTTCTTTCTGCTGTAATACACTGATGCTCAATATTCTTTTGCTCCTCAGATTTCCTATTTTAATTTCTCTCCTTCTCATTTTCCCCTCCATGTCTACAGTGAGGAGGAAAACTTCTGAAGAGTCTAAAATACTCTTAAGAGTGATAGGGAGAGATCGTAAAATCCAAATCTGGATTCTAGTATCTCTATGGAAGTTCCTGGTGACATTCTGGAATGCTTGAGTTATCCCCAGAGGCCTAAAATACATTGGTCACGAGCAATTAGTTGTTCTACATCTGAAATCAAAGAGGATGATACCCAAAGACTGAAATAGGGCTCCCAGAAAAGGGTCTAATAACTCCACTTTTATCACGCACAGACATTAAAATGGTAGCTAAGAAGCTGCTCTAAGCCCAGCCTGAGAGCACCCCTGGGACTCAAGGTGACCACAGAATAAGTTCAATACGAGAGTAGGTTGGCAAGACAGAAATGTCTATGTTTGCCTAACCTGGAGCCCAAGAGTAAAGCCATGGAAAGCTGTCATCTTTCTGTGCGGCCACAGGAGGCAGGGTAACAAGGCAGAGGCAGCACCGTGGAGTCAAACTGACCCCTTATTAGTGAGCTGCTTACCTTTTTGGGTCTCCCATTCCCTCAGCTGTGAAAGTGGGGGGAGAATCCCATTTTGCCACAGAGCTCTATTAAAATGACTGAATGGGATGACATCTATAACGTGTCTAATCCAGTAATTGGGACACAGTGGGGGTGAGTTAATAAGTGCCAAGTTAGCAGTCAAAGCAACATGGGTCATTTTCAAATGTATACAGTATTTCATTTCTCTTCCCTCATTCCTTATTCTCAGTTGTTTATTTAAAAAGGAGCTTCATAATGCTGGATTGGTAGGGTTTATGAAACTAAGTTATGGCTGAACAACACTGAGCCCGTATATCCTTTACTCTGTCATTGCCTTATTAATAAGTTCTCAGGGGCAGAAGACACTGGCTCCCCAGCTCACCAGCCATAGAATCCTGCTTTCCTAGAGTAGAACCAGTATGTGAACCAGCACAGCAGTCTGGTCACCAGAAAATAGGGCCCTTGCCAAGAAGACACAGACACTGTGTTCAGCTGAGATCTCTCCATCAGTCACTATGGTCCTGAAAAGAGGAGGAGCACACAAACACCATGAGAAACTTACCTCAACTGGGGGTGTCTCTCCCAGCAACAGGTTATTAAAAATGGTAGCATAATCACCGTTTAAATTCATCAGCTCCTCATGGGTGCCTCTTTCTGTAATACAGCCCTCTTTCATGAAGATCACTTCATCACAATCAGCCAGGTACTGGGGACAAAGGCAGGGACAACACAGTGTTGCTGAGATTTATGCAAATACATTCAATACCTATACCTTAGTTCAGAGGGTCAGAGGCAATGGAGCCCCCCAGGGGACATCTGGCAGTATCTGGAGACTTTTGGTTGCTACATCTGGGGGCAGGGTACTGCTGTTATCTAGTGGATAGAGGCCAGGAGTTTCCTGGCACCAAATGTCAACAGTGCCAAGAGTGAGAAAACCCTTGCTTTAGTTTACTGTGGCTTGTGATGTAGTTCAAAAAACATCTCCTCCCATTTTTGGCATAAATCAATTGATGCAGCCACATGAGCCTTGTAATAAACTTCACACCTTTTTGCCATACTCAGAAGTGCACATAATTACAGACTTTTTGTGGCAGAGTGGGGGATTAGCCCCCTAAACTTGACAACATATGCAAAGCAGACGGCAACATCCTGGAGCTGTTCTCCAAAGTGGCTGCTTGTCTTGGAATGACAGAGGGAGAAGAGCTTGTTTTCCTTAAACAGTTCCCACTTGCATATAGATATTAACACAAGCTTTCCAAACTCTTACCCAAACTCCAGTTTCAGCCTACTCCTCTTAGCCCTTTTACTTACTGATTTATATGCAAAGCTAACACGCTCCAAGGATCTCTAATTCAGATGGCCATCTGGTACATCGGTACAATGAGTTTTATTGGTACATTGGGCCAGGGACTATTTGCTGAGGAAATAGACGCTGATGACTCCGGGAACTTCTAAGGAGCTCCATGAAGGTACCTGGACAAGGCCCACTTCCCTGTTTCTGTTTTCCCAAGCCACGGTGGGCAGCCTGAGGAAGAGTGCCCCATACCTGTAACTGGTGGGTAACAAACAGAACTGTCTTAGACTTGAGGTGCTTCTGGATAGCACTGCTGAAGATGTGGTTGCCCACATGGGCATCTAAGGCACTGAGGGGATCATCCAGGATGTAGATGTCCCGGTCACTGTACAAGGCCCGTGCAAGGCTGATCCTTTGGCGCTGTCCACCACTCAGGTTTGCTCCTCGCTCGCCAATCTACAGGAGTCCAGAAAGCATAGTGAAGCCTCCAGCTCAAGTCCAGTACCATGCTTAGTCACTGCTCCTCTGTTCCATCCAAACCAGTTCCTTCTACTGAATTCCCCACTGGATGAACTGCAACTCTTTATTCTCCAGGGCCCACACCAGAACCGGGGGAGCCAGCCTAGAGGAAGACAATTCTTCCTCTCCCATAACCAGCTGGTTACTAATCAATCTTACTAACTCTGGGTTTACATTCCCCCTTGACATACCATCCCAATTCATTATCTATAGGCAGAAAGATCTTTCCAAAACACAGAGCTAACTGTGTCCCACTCTCGCTTAAAACTTTCTTTCAAGGGGCGCCTGGGTGGCTCAGTCGGTTAAGCGTCCAACTTCGGCTCAGGTCACGATCTCACAGTTCATGAGTGCAGACCCCGTGTCGGGTTCTGTGCTGATAGTTCAGAGCCTGGAGCCTGCTTCGGATTCTGTGTCTCCCTCTCTCTCTGGCCCTCCCCTGCTCACACTCTATCTCCTTCTCTCTCACTAAAATAAACATTTAAAAAAACCCACAAAACTCTCTTTCAACAGCCCTAAGAAATAAAATCTAAACAAACATGTCACAGAAAGTGGGCTCTTTGCCACCTGGTACCATGGCAGCTCTCTGCGTCCACTGCCAAACTCTCTTCTACTCTCTGGGATCTAAGCCATTTTAAATTGTGTGTGCATTCTGGACCCTCAAGACTATTGTCATGCCTTTTCTATATCATATCTGCTCAGTTCTGGCATCCTCTCCTCTGTGAAACCTCCTCCACCCTCTTCTCTACTACTACCGAAAAGGAAGGGGATGCCTTTTTTTTTAATTAAAAAAAAATTTTTTTTTAAGTTTTGAAAGGGGACTCTTTCATCAGCTTATTTATTTTTTAATTAAAAAAATTTTTTTTAAGTTTTGAAAGGGGACTCTTTCATCAGCCTGTTCAGATATCTCATCCTTTCAACTGTAAGCTTTTCAAGGTCATAGATCATCCTATTGCCTTACATCCCCAGTGCCCAGCAGTTTCTGCATATGTGGCTGGCACAAAACAAGCATCTGATAAACGTTACTAAATGGACACATGAATAAATCAACTGTCAGATGGTAACTGGCTCTGAAATTAAAACAAACAAACAAACAAAAACTCTTGTCCTTAAAAAAACATTCATTGAATTCAGAGGTTTCAAATTTGAGCAGGTATCAGAATTACCTACAGGGCTTGTTAAAACAGATGGTTGGACCCTGGGCCTAGAGTTCCTGATTCAGTAGGTGTGGGGTGAGGGGTATGAATCTACATTGCTAACAAGTTCCCAATAATACTGTTGCTGCTGATCCACTATGAATTTGTGAAGTAAGATTTGAGAACCAGGGAACTAATGAAACCATTCACCAAATCTGGTTTGAAGGATTTAACTGAAGTCAGCAGAATAAAAGTGCAGAGACCTCAGGGTAGGTCATGGGAGACAAATGTCAACAGGGAAGGACACAAGCCAGTTCCAAAGACACACTTCTGGCAAACTGCTCCAGGGCAGAGAGCCAAAGAAAGAGGCCTTAGCACAAAGGCCTTTCTAATTGAAAAGAGCTCTCTAAGACTTGATCAGTAAGGAGGTTAGTTGGCAGAATGAAGTTCAGAGAACCTCAGCAGGCACATTTTAAAATGAATAGTGTGGAAAACATGAACTCTGAACCAACAATGGGATTTTGTTTAAAATTTACATGACATACAGAATGGCTAAAATTAACAACTCAGGCAACAAGAGATGTTGGCGAGGATGTGGAGAAAGGGGAACCATTTCTGCACTGCTGGTGAGAATGTAAACTGGTGCAGCCACTCGGGAAAACAGTATGGAGGTTCCTCAAAAAATCATACAACGCAGCAATTGCACTGCTAGGTATTTGTCCAAGGGATACAAAAATGCTGACTCAATGGGGCACATGCACCCAATGTTTATAGCAGTCCTATCAACAATAGCCAAAATATGGAAAGAGTCCAAATGTCCATCAATTGATGAACGGGTAAAGAAGATGTGGTATGTGTATGCATATATATAGATACATACACAATGGAATACTGCTCGGTGATCAAAAAGTATGATATTTGCCATTTGGAGCAACATGGATGGAACCAGAGGGTATTATGCTAACTGAAGTGAGTCAGATAAAGACAGATATCATATGATTTCACTCATAAGTGGAATTTGAGAAACCCAACAGATAAACATAGGGGAAGGGAAGCAAAACTAAGATAAAAAGAGGGAGACAAACCATAAAGACTCTTAAATACAGAGAAAAAACTGAGGGTTGCTGGTGGGGTCTTGGGTGGGGGATGGGCATTAAGGAGGGCATTTGTGGGGATGAGCACTGGGTGTTATATAGAAGTGATGAATCACTAAATTCTACTCCTGAAACCATTATTACACTATATGTTAACTAACTTGGATTTAAATAAAAATAAATAAAATGATATGCAGATGGGAAAAAAATTCTAAATAATTCTAAATAAACTATTTATACACTTAAAACAAGTAGTGTTGATAAACCCATGCTTTCCTAACATAAAGTCTCAATGAAAGCAAAACTCCCTGTGTGGGTACTCCTGCATTTAAGTTGCATTACTAGGTGGTTCTGACACAGCCCTGCAATCCATCTTCCAGAATCCTCTCTGTCAAACACATTGCCCCAACAGGGGCAGAAAAGGCCTGTACCTCAGTCAGGTCACTGTTGGGAAGGATGGCCAGGTCAGGCCTCAGGCAGCAGCTGTTGAGCACAGAGTTGTATCTGAAGGACATAAAGAGACTTAGCATCAGGGACATGTTTGGAGTAGAGCCTGCTGACTTGGGCTGCCTTGAGTCTCACACGGCCAAGACGAGAAAGCATGAGAGAAACCAAACATTCCTTGCCTTTCTTCATCAAATTCCTTCCCAAAGAGGATGTTGTCTCTCAGAGTGGCATTGAGGATCCAGGCCTGCTGGGCCACATAAGCGAAGGTTCCACTGACTGCAATGCTGCCCTCTAGAAGTGTCATCTAGGGAGACAGACACCATCCAATGGCATCATGATGCAAAACCACCACCCTAAGCCAACAGAACCCCCCACATTCCACAATGGAGTTCAAAGTTTTGGCAATCTCCTTGGATGCTTTTGGACTCAAATCCAGACCTCGCCTTTGTTCCACAGAGAGATCTACAGCAGCAAAGAACATCAAAGTTCTCCTTGCTTTTGTGTGATGGGAACCCAGCATAACCCATGACCTGAATGAACCAACACTTCATTTAGCAACCCATAAGCTACTCTATATCCTGTCTCCCTAATTGCAAACTGTTTTAACTAAGGGAAGCATTAGAGCGGAAGGCCCTTTCAGAAATCCCCTGGGGAGGATGCTGTAAAGATTTAGAGCTAGTCCCTGCCTCAAGATGGGGGCAGGTCATTTCATCTACAGAATTAATTAATCCAGGCTGTTGGCTAAACCAGCTGCTTCTGTAAAATGAGGACCAAAGGGAAAAAAAATTTGTTAGACATGAACTAGTATTACAGAGTATCCATATGATGAGGATGGACCCTCTCATTCAACACGAAGACATCGCGTGATGAGCCATGTGTTTCGAGTTGTGTTTTCAGTCACAGTGATTGATATGATTTATCCATTTTATCCTCTTTCGGGTTCCTTTTGGGACTGGCAGTAGACATCTGTCTTGGGTTAGGGATGTTATAGCTTCAAACAAAGGTTCATTAGCCAGCCTGCACACCCAAGCTTGTCCTCTCAAACACCGTTAGCATACAGCGTACGGACAGAGGTGCTCCCACCACAGACTGTAACAGTGGTCTTAACTGCCCATAAACTGGTAAGCACGCTGCTATCGCACCCAAAGTATTCCGAAACCCATGGAGGGGCTACCACAGAAAACTCTACACCCACACTGCAGACTGCCCACACAGTTCAACTCCAAAGAAGCCGGGCCCACCAGCTTTACCAGCCTCCCTGTCAGAGAGATTGGGAGGATTTCATCTAAAAGCAAAGCCTCATTGTTTTCAACCTAACCATCGTCCACTCAGCACCACTGCCCCCTTTATTTCCTCTGTCTCTCTCATCATTGACCCTTAAATCTGACCCCTAAGTTATCAGAACATCTAGGAGAAGTTCTGGCTTTTTGCAAAGACCAAGGGCTGAGCCCAACCAGTAAAGAGGGGTAGGTAGGTTGTCGCTCCAGATGATGTGAATGCAGCCTTCCTCAGACCACGCTAGGTACCACTGTTCTCAAGGACAGCCACGCTCTACCAACTGTGGCAGTGACACTCAACAAAACAAAATATTCCATAACCTGGTTGCTACAAAACACTCTTCCCCAACTCCATCTCACATGTGTTTAATTTTCTCAATATGGATAAAGGACTCATTGGACCTCATCCACCAGCAGGTAAGAATAAGCTTAAGTTTATCCTCATCTCAACCTTGTAGGTCAAGCTGGTTCAATTCAAGATTAAAAGCACGTGGAAGCACCTTGTGGGTTTTTTCTCCCCCCTATTATTTGGTTTTAAAACACAGTAAAAGATAATTTGTCTTAGCTGGGTGACCTTTGCCCCTGAGAGCCCTGGGCTGGGCTCTCTGTGAACCATTCACTCTCTGCCTTGGGCTATGCTTGTGTGTTCTGCCAGCATAATCCTTTCAATGGTTAGTTTGAAAACGAGTGGAGCTTTCCTTCTAGATCAAATCCTGACATCAATCTCTCCAACAAGGAGGCCGGTAAGGCCGGTCCGTCCAGCTTCTTCAGCTTGTGGGCAGTCTGCTGTTTGTTCACCTCTTATGTCTGACATTTCCCAGCACACCGTCTAGCATCATATGGCACTCAATAAACACATGCTGAGTAAAAGAAGGCAGGAGAAATAGATGACTTCAGCTAGATATCAACCAGTCATTCATCAGGCGTGCACGGAGCCCGCTTCCAGATGCAATGCTGTTAAGGGGTGAAAATGTGGGGGTGGGGGCAGGGGGTATAACACAGACCAAGGGTTCATTTTGTTTCTGCCTTTCCTGACTCTGTTTGGGAAAAGTAGTTCATTTTCCAAGACTCTTGTTAAGCCGATTCCAAAGAAAGGAGCAGAAAATGCCAAGGACAAAAACAAAATATTACCTGGCCTAAAATGGCTGAAATGAGAGAGGTTTTTCCACTTCCCACGCTGCCACAGATTCCAACCAGTTTACCCTGCACAAAGCATACAGAGAAAAGAAGGTCATCAAAGGACCACTAACCGCTTGTCTCTAGGGACTGCTGATTTCTTCAAGGAAAAACAGATTAACGCCAGGTCAACAATATGGGAACTATTATCCTGATGACTCTGCATGTCACTTAACCTGTTTCCTCCCTGTCAGCCACCTACTTCATAGGGTTTCTGTGAGGATACACGGAGGTAACAGAAGCCTTTCAGAAAAATTAAATATGCCGCACACATGAAGGTATCCCGCATCGCTTTTAGAAAGGCTCCGCCCCTTTCCCACTTTTTTTTTGGCAACCCATGTTTTTTGATTATTTATCTTTGCTGTTGTTTTTGGAAATGAGGGTAGGACTCTTGAAAATTATTTTGTTGATTTTCATTTTGTGTGATTTTTTTGTTTCTAAGGTCTATAAATTAATTTTGATAAACTCTAGGTGCACTGCTGTTTCCATTTTTCTACAAAACATTTCCAAGAATCTAAAGATATTGATACCATCAATCCCACTTAAAAGTGGGGGAAATGCCTGTGATTAACTGAATATCCTCAGGCAAAAGAATGAGCTAAAAGTTTTCAAGGGCAAATAGGTGATTTCAAAAAAAAAGATCACTTATTTAGCAACCCTGCCTTGGCTCAAGCCTCGCAGCAAAGGAAGGAAGAGTGGTGTGTAGAAGAACATGGATTCTGGAGGTAGACAGCTCTTGTTGTGAACCCCAGCTCCATTAGCACCTGCCAAGGAGGTGACGGAGGTCTGCTTACTTACACTAACACCATCTGTCTCTCACTGGGCTTTGAGCAACTTGAGCGAAGGAGTTATCTTTGTAGAGCCAAGTACTTTGTACAACCAAAGTATCTTTGTCTTGGACAAAGTATGTTGGACAAAGTTTTCTGACATCATCCTAGAGTTCAAAAGATTACAGCCTGGTGGTGATGAGGAAACCAAGTCGCAGGTTCAACCTCTGCTCAAGCCAATTAGGTTTACACAAACAAAACCCTGTTCCCATGACTAAATGGTGACTAACAGAGATATTAACAATGAAGTGAGTGCCCAAGGTGCAGGCAAACATTAACTTTCCTTCCCCTCCCCGAAGAGGGAGGCTAGAAGAATTAAGGTATCCCTCTCCAAATAGCTAAAGGTCTGTCATGTGAATGTGGGCTCTAAAAGGGCAGAATGAAGATCAAAAGACAGAAAGGAGAAGAGTACATTTCAGCTGAATATGAGGAATAATCCTCTAATAGGGCAGTTTAGAAATGTAACAGAGCTGCCTCAATAATTAAGAAAATCATTATTAAACAAGAAGTCTGTTGTTAAGAGTTAACTGAAGTAAAGAACTGACGTCAGTGGCCTCCAGGGAGAAGGTGCACTAGTGGTTTCAGGTGTTCTCACTAAGGACCATCTCCTGCTCCCGTTCATATCTTTCAAGAGCTGGGAGCTTTTTGTTCTCAGAGTCTCTCTGTAGCATACGTTAGTCAGTGGCTGACTTTGATACATACCGCATTAAAACCCACTACTCCCCACCTCCAGTTATGTAGGTAAAGTCTCACCACCACCACTGATCCAAGAACCACTTCTCCTGGGTTAACTGGTCTCCTTCCTTGTTTCCCTACCTACTCTTTTGAATCCAGAAGCTAGAATGTTTCTCTTCATACATAAGTCAGATCATATCATTCTTCTCCAAACCCTCCAATGGCTTCTCTTCCCACTCAGAGTAAAGCCAAATCATTATAGGAGGCTCTGGCACCCCAGCTGCCTCTCTGTCTTCAGCATCCACTATTCTCTCCTGTGCTCAATCAGCACACTGCAGACTCAGGGACTTTGTGCTTCTGTTCCTTCTGCCTGGAATGTTCTTCTTCCTCCAGATATCCATATGGCTCAGTCCCTCACCTCCCTCTTGCCTTTGCCCATATATTAGTTTTTAAATGAGGCCTTCTCTCAGGCAGGCTGTTAAAATTGCAACCACACCTGCTCCAGACCCCAGCATTCACTATCTTCCTCACACAGCCCTTAACATCATCTGACTTACCATATATTTGACTTGTTTACTATTTGTCTTTGCCACTAAAACATAAGCTCCAAGAACACAGGGACTTTTGTTGGTTTGGTTTTCCACTGCTATAGCTCCAGTCCCACAACAGTGCCTGGCAGAAGGCAGCACTCAAAAAATGGCTGATGAATGAATATATGAATGTATGTATGTATATACATACATACATACACACACACACAGGCACACTTCTGTGACCCTCTGATACACTCTGATATGGACCCTCTGAATGGTGCAGCCGTCAATATGGTGCTAGTCCCCAGTCATAGACTGTATTTGCAAAGCCCTGAACCGGAGTCTGTTCCAGCCACTCTGTGCAGGAGCCCCTCTGAGAGACTCTAGTCCTGTGCTACTTGGGCTGTGACACTATACGCCACAGTGATCCTTCATTTACATTAAAAACAAACAATTACAGAATCAACATGTTGTACACCTGAAATGAATACAACATTGGTTGCTAACTATACTTCAGTAAGAATATACAAATAAATAGATAAATAATTACAACAGACTTGTGGCTAATAGCAGCACTCACAGTTCTTTCCCATTGGACCAGGTTCTGTGCTATGCACAGCCTGGTGGTAATGAGAAGTTCACCCACATTTATAATAACGAGAAATAATTATTACAGCTCACACATGACTGTAACAACTAGAATCTATTCAGGGCAAAATCTTGGAAAATCCACTTGAATGCTTCATTTCCTTGCTTGTAAAATGAGGCTCTCATGAGATCACTTGGTATTAATTTCCATTGTTAGATGCCTAAATATGCCTTCATAGAGTTGGAGTTGGCCACATTTGCTCTGTAGCTCAAAATGAGTCCCAGCCACAGAGGACTTTGTTGTAAGGAAAGCACCACCTGCTCTGACTGGAAGAGATAGCCACAGGCACCCGCAGATGGATGGGGTGCAGGTGGGGAGCAGGGGAGACAGAGGGCTTACCTCTTCAATCTCCAGGTCGATGTTGTACAGAGTCCTCTGCAAGCGGAGGATCCCCAGGTGGATGTGCTTGCCTTCCTCCTCCTCGGGACTGGGCCGCTCGTCGCTGTCCAGGAGGAGGTGGCCTTTCTGCTCTGCCAGCACCGCCTGCTGCTCAGTGCGCTGCAGCTGTCTCACCTTCTCTTTCTTGCCCCTGGCAGCCCTCTTGTCTTTTTTCGTTTTGGGGGTCAGCTTGGGTGAGTTCTGGACACTGCAGTGGGAGGAGTCCCATGCCAAGGTGGCATTTCTCACCTCTATCTTGATGTGAGGGCTGGCTGGTTTTTTCTTTATCATGTGAACCTCTTCCATCAGAAACAAACTCTGATAGGAGTTGTGAGAGAGGTGCAAAGATGAGACACTGCATCAAGACCAGGGGGACAAGCCTAGGGCGCACACTCACGTAGCAAAACACATCAGGCTATACAGTGGAAGAAAGCTGAAGGGCAAAAGGTAGCTCATTAGTGTAGCCCAGCCTCAGGCCCCTCGAGAGGTCGTGGGGGTGTGGGGACACCCTCAGGAGGGACAGCAGCCATCTCAATGGCCCAGCACTCCACACTGCCAAGCGCATCCTAACCTACCTTTTCCTCTCTACCAATCTATTGTGGCCAAAGCACAATGAACTAACCTGTCTGCCGCCTCTCCTTCTCACCCATGACTTGCCAAACAGCAGGTAGTAAAATGCAAGCAGAAGAACGAAAGGGCATACTTCTCTCCTGGACAGACAGACCCTCATCACTCCGTTTCCCTTCCAGAACACTCCTGGGGAGCCTCAAAGCCTGTGTGCTTCCCTTACCTACAACATGGCTCATGTCTGGCGGGGAGAGGCGAGCTGAGATCATAACCAAGCCTAGCTTGCTTGGGTTGGAAGGGAGTACCTAAGGCTATATCACAGGCAGAATGTGTCTTCTTGGCAACAAGTTTTCATGTCTTCAAAATCCTGCCTTGAAACTTGAGAGGATTCAAACAACCAAAGGAATAGACCTGGGAGGACGTGCTCCTCCCTCAGAAACATCCCTGGGAAGACAACAAGATTTTCCTCCCACGCATTCCCAGAGACCCTCTGAGTTATGCTAGGGGAAGAAAAGTGGAATGATTGAAAGGCTGAATGTTTTTGAAATGTTTTTGAATTAGATTCGAAATACTGACTATAATAAACCTTATATATACCCATGATTTTGAACCCACTTCTGACACCTCTCTTAAACTGGAGATCACAGAATGCTATCCCAGTTGGATCATCAATATGATAAAAATAAATTTTTTAATTAAAAAATGTTAAACATTAGAAAGAAATAAAACACCTTTAGAGAAAAAGGTGACTTTCAGGGTCAGGACTCTGCTTATTTACTGAGAACCCCCAACTATTTTAAAGTTGTTGTTTTTTTTTTAGTTTATTTATTTATTTTGAAAGATATGGAAAAAGAGTGGGGTGGAGGGGCAGAAAGAGAGAGAGAGAGAGAGAAAGACAGAGAGAGAGATCGAGAAAGGGAGGGAGAATCCCAAGCAGGCTCTACACTGTCAGCATAGAGCCCAACATAGGGCTGAAACTCACGAAGCTGTGAGATCATATGACCTGAGCCAAAATCAAAAGTAGGACACTTAATCAACTGAGCCACCTTTGCGGGTGTTATTAAATGCAACATACAATCCCCTTCCCCTAGAGCAAGTCCTTTCCCCTGGATCTTAAACGTGTAGCTTCTTCTTTTCCTTCCCTTGATGGCCACACCTCTTACCCATTCCTAATCTCCAATCTTCCCAGAAGTGTCATGTTTCTAAATATAGTCTTCACTCTTGATCAACCTTTGGTTTAATTTCCAAAAACAGCTGTTGGCTTCATTTGTTCAGAGCCTTCTAGAAAGACTGAACTAAGAACATGCCAAATATCTTGACCACCTTCACAGAGTACAACCATATGCTGACAGAACTCCCACTATTGCTCTCCCCTAAGGAATTATTAAAAGATTCTTTCAGACCTCAATGGATGATTAAAAAAATAAGCCCGTGCCTCCAGTTTGCACAGCTCCTTCCCCACATTTCCTTCCCATGGGCTCCCTGCAGCCTGCCATCCTCCTAACACAAGCTGAGTCATACAAGGGGCTCCACAACACTTGAATTTGTATCTACCTGAATTGGCACCTGCCAGGACAACAGACTCTTAGAGGTACATAAACCATAAACCTTGGGGCCCTGGGTGGCTCAGTCAGTTGAGCATCTGACTCTTGATTTCAGCTCAGGTCATGATCTCACAGTTCATGAGATCAAGCCTGGCATTGAGCTCTGCACTGTGGGTGTGGAGCCTGCTTGGGATTCTCTCACTCTCCCTCTGCCCCTCCCTTGGACACGTACTCTCTCTCAAAATGAATAAATAAACATTTAGAAAAAACACAAAATCACCAAACCTATAAACCTCAACTTTGCCACAGGACACTGTCAAAACACAACCCTCATTCACTTGGAATGTATCTATTGAGCAGAAGAGGGGACAGAGGGTTGCCAGATAAAATACAGGACATCTAGTTAAATTCTGACTCTGTGTAAATCATGAGTAATTCGGTAGTATAAGCATGTCCCATTCAGTTATTAATTAACTGGGTGTCTTTCATTTGCTAAAACTGGAAACCCTATACTGATGATGGTCTTATCAGAAAAGTCACAGGGTGGCTTCTTACATGTTATCATCTGTCTAGAAGGAGGAGAAGGAAGTGAAAGGGGAGTGCAAGGGGAAGGAAGAGTGGAGAGTCAGAAGGAGACTGCCAAGAAGAATAAGATAGAATGGAACTGAAGTCTCATGGGGCATATAATATGGCTGTGGTTGATTTTGTTTCTATTATTAACTCTGAAGTTCCCTGGATAGCGGAAGGAGCCATGATGTGAAAAGCCGCATGCTAATGCCAAGTCCTCACCAGTAAATGAAGAGAAGAAAATCCTTGAAAAATATGGGGAGAAAAAACCTATACTATGAACTCCTATTCTTTCATCCAAATCCATCCACTAACAAGGAAAGGGGGACAAACTTATGGTCAAAACATTTACTTTCTTCCAAGACTAGATATTACAGATTCAGCAAAATAAAGCTCTGATTATAATTAGACCATTTCTTTTATATGACTCTGGCTCTTAGCCTTCGAGCTGCCAGAGTGGAGTGAGGGAGGGCACAGAGCTGGGGATGCATCTTGAGGAATGGCTTTTTTGCCTAAACAAAATTTGCCTTGTTAACTGTAAACAAGTAGGATATATATATAAATTGCAGAAAGCTGTTTTCCATTCTTCATATTCTCCATCATTCCAAATTAGTTTTCTCCTGAACATCTAAGTTGATAATACGAATGCCTCAAACATCTGAGCCTCAAGCCTTCAAGAAACCAACTTTGCTTCTGCATTGTTCTCACTACCAAGAAGGCTTACCAGCAGTCTAGGAGCTACTCCACGCAGGGGAATTGTCAAGGAATTGCAGCCCACACAGCTGCTGTTCCTTTTTTAAAAGTATTAACCATGATTTTCAAATATCCCTCCACCCTTCCCAGGATATCTCCCTCTTGTACCATCTATTTATATTATTCTGAAGACACAAAGAACGCAGCCGAGGCATGATCGACTGACCACCCCCAGAAAACCCCTGCTATCTCCTGAGTTGCACTTGGCAACATGGCCTTATTTTATGACTATTCCCATGTCACTGCATTCCTTGCATCATGAGTTGGCAACTACAAGGCAAGAAAACCAAAGTGTCAAAAAAAGTCTTAGCATATTCACCGATCAAAATGACAACAACATTTTGGTAATGGTAGATGGTAGACTGAGGTGAGGAAAAGCTGACAGTCACTTAATAGTTCTGATCTTCCAGATTTGAATCTCTGAAAGGCCCATTAGGACATATACCCATGTCAGGCCCGGGAAGAAAGGCCCAGCTCTGAAGGGGAATGCAAATCCTGGGAGCCCAGAACTAGGTGGGTCATTAACAAAAGGTAAAATTTCACATTCACTTGGGAAGGTAACTAGTGTCGTCCCTTAATTCACTCTCCTCCACTACCCCCTTTCTCACCAACTTGCCAAAAGGTAAACAAAAACCAAGTGTGCCAGCCTTGTGTGGCCCATTGGAATAAAGGCAGCAGTTAGCTTTGCCAGGGGTGGCTCCTGACATGGAGGAGGGGAAGGGAGCCACTTACCTTAAATCTGTCAACAGCAACCGATGCTTCTGAGAGGGATTTTACAGAGAATGGTGTGACTTTTAAAGCAAAAGTCATGGAATTGAAGACAGTCACCACTGTGAAAGCCTGAAAATAAGAAAAAAGAAACAGCTTCTTTTAGAATTAGCCTCTACAACAAAAATAATAAGACATCATCATTTTCCTTTCAGGTTTAAGGAAGGCTGCAACTTGACTATCAAGATGGTATGGGGCGCCTGGGTGGCTTAGTCGGTTAAGCATCCGACTTTCGCTTAGGTCATGATCTCGCGGTTCGTGGGTTCGAGCCCCGCGTCGGGCTCTGTGCTGACTGCCAGCGCAGAGCCTGGAGCCAATTTCAGAGTCTGTATCTCCCTCTCTCTCTGACCCTCCCCTGCTCACGCTGTCTCTCTCTCTCTCCTAGAAATAAATAAAAAATATATTAAAAAATAAAATAAAATAGTTTAAAAAAAAGATGGTATGAGTCACATATGCTTTTTTTTTTTTTTTTTAAAGGTAGAGCTTTTATGAGACCTTCAATTAAAATTCTCAGTAAATCTGAACCAAAGGATGATCTGTATTTTCACAATTAAATCCGAAGTTGGGCTGACTTAAAACAACCCATAACTTTATGTGTGCTTAGACTTGAGTCTCCACTCTTCTTCTCAGCTTAATCATATGAAAGAAAAAATATTTTCTGATTATTGGGGGCACCTCCAAATCCAGAAACAAAAGAACCAGAGTGTCTCTATATGTGGTATTTCTAAAATCTTCCCAAGCCCTGAGGGCTCACTGACCTGTGCTGCTGTCAGGTCAAAGCCAAGGGTCATGTGAACAGAGAATGTCACCACGCTGGCAATCACCATCACAATGGGAGCTACACCAACAGTGATGCTCTGAAAGTATCCAGCCTTTTCCAATATCCGACGTTCCTCCTCTCGGATTTCTAAGAATAAAAAGCAAGCCAATTGGTGAAAAGCAAGCCAATTTTAAAGCAAGTCAAAAGAAACCATGGAATATTGCTCCTTTGTCACCAAAGACTTGGTAGGTCTTCAGCCACATAGGTTTTAAAACAATTCTTGGGGGTGCCTGGGTGGTTCAGTCGGTTAAGCATCTAACTTCAGCCGAGGTCATGATCTCATGGTTCATTCATGAGTTCGAGGCCCACATCAGGTTGTCTACTGTCTGTACAGAGCCTGCCTCGGATACTCTGTCCCCCTCTTTCCCTGCCCCTCCCTAACTAGCACATGCATGCATGCTCGCGCTCTCTCTCTCAAAAATAAATAAGCATTAAGGGGGAACCTGGGTGGCTCAGTCAGTAAGTGTCCAGCTTTGGCTCAGGTCATGATCTCATGGTCTGTGGGTTCGAGCCCCACGTCAGGCTCTGGGCTGACAGCTCAGAGCCTGGAGCCTGCTTTGGATTCTTTGTCTCCCTCCCTCTCTCTCTGCCTCTTCCCTGCTTGTGCTCTCTCTCTCTCAAAAATAAATAAACATTTACAAATAAATAAATAAATACATAAATAAGTATTATAAAAAACCAATTGTTTAACACCTATGATGCAAAACCAAGGTCAACATAACTATCAATTATTACCACTAATGCTGGTACACAACCCTGAAATGGGATCCAATCACAGGAATGAAACTAACAGAAAGCAGTCCTACATATCAGTGCAATGATCATCTTCTGTCTTAGTCTGATTTTTCTTGCAAACATCTTACATCTAGAAGGGGTGAGCACAGTAATTGTATCTGCAATCGGCAGTTTTGTTTGCTTACCTGCTTGTTGTTTATTTCCTGGCTATGTAGTTACAGAAAAGGCTCTACAGTCATGGAGAATTAAAAAAGAACTCAGATTTACTACAGTGCCTACTGTATGTGAGTGCTGGGTAAAGGCTTTCACACAAAAAGCAGTGAGGATGACTGAGAGAAAGTGACTGAAATACAACTTGGTAGACAGAATGATTTTTCTTAAGTATTTGCAAAACTGTAACCTTTATTAACCTTTATTAACCTTTATTAACCTTTATAACAACCCTAGGGTACTGAAGACCATGGAATAGGAAGTATGACAATAAAGTGGTACGTTTTGTGTATGTGGGTTTTTTTAATGTTTATTTTTGAGACAGAAAGAGAGAGGGAGAAAGTGCGCGCACATGCAGTCAGGGGAGGGGTAGAGAGACATGGAGAAAGAAAGAATCCCAAGCAGGCTCTGCGCTGTCAGCATGGAGCCTGACTCGGGGCTCAATCCCATGAGAAGTGAGATCATGACCTGAGCCAAAATCAAAAGAGTCGGATGTTTAACCAACTTAGCCTCTCAGGCACCTCTGTTTTGTTTTGTTTTTTTAAAAACATACAAGCAATTCTGAGAAACTTTACACTGACCTTAACATTGGGAACTATCTTCAGAGCTAGTTCCTAAGTCAGATTTTTAAAAATCTAATACTTTCACACTTACCATATAACTTGCCTAAGTCCATAATGAGCACGAATGCTCTTTTCAAACTAGCACACACAGGTAAAGACACGAAAGTCAGGGGCTGAAGGTAAAGTGGACTCTCAGAAAGAAAACTATAAAACCAGAGAGTGAGAGGGGCAGAAAGGACCATCGCCAGTCACCCTGACTACAACATGCTTGGCAGATATCCACTTAGCAGCCATTTGTTCATTCTATTGGCAATGAATTCACGACTTAACAAGGCTGCCTAACCTACTGCGGGACACCTCTGAGTGGCCACCTCTTCCTGATGACCACTGATAAATAAAGTTTATGAACCAGACACAATGTTCCTGAAGGTTTAATCAACAAACCAAGCAGTAAAAATAAAATATCTTCCTTGCTCTGAACACTGTATTTCTTTTTTTTTTTTTTTTTTTTAATGTTTTATTTATTTCTAGGAGAGAGAGAGAGAGACAGCGTGAGCAGGGGAGGGTCAGAGAGAGAGGGAGTCACAGACTGAAACAGGCTCCAGGCTCTGAGCTGGCAGTCAGCACAGAGCCCGACGCGGGGCTCGAACCCACGAACCGCGAGATCATGACCTGAGCGAAAGTCGGACGCTTAGCCGACTAAGCCACCCGGGCGCCCCATGAACACTGTATTTCTATTCAACCTAAAATCGCATTAACTTTTGTAACTGCAATGTATTCAGGTTAGCTCACTTGATATGATCCTATGACATTAAGATTCCTAGCAGCTAATGTGCTCCAGAAGCCAAGACACTAAAGCCCTTCTAACAAACGCACATATAAAATCTTTCAACTCACTTTGTACAATTTGAGAAAATGCTTTGACCCAGGCATACATCTTAATAAATTTAATGTAAGTGAGGACTTCATTCATCTTCTGGACACGTTCATCGGTGGTGGTCACACATTTTCTCCTGAAATATGCAGTGATCCGGGACACAAACATCTGAAAGGAAAAGCAATGCCGTGCCAAGTCAGGGCTTGTTCAAACGTAAGACCCATCTAGACTTTCTGGGAAATAAATCTGCTCAAGATTATTATGAATAAAATGAGCATCAGGGAGGTGTACCACTTTTAAATAAAAGTGGCCTATTAAATTATAATAAAATATTATTTAATTCTTATGTCTTTGTAAGGAAGTTAAGTCAAGTATTTGTTCTCATGGTAATTATGGATATTGAGTGCTACCAAAGGGAAGCAGAAGAGCCATATTAGTTAGCATCAACTCGAGAGGAAGAGACTCAGACACTCCTGTGTTACTTGGGGGGCAGAGTTCACCTCCTGGCCTCCTCCTTCACTCAGATTCTCTTTTTTAAATCTCATTAAGAGCCTCGGCCTTTATTCAAGTGACACCTTAGACTTTTCCAAACGGGTACCTGCTTTGAGGAAATTTCCAGTCAGAGATGTGATGCCTCAGCCGTGCCTACTGCGTAAAACCTAACAGAAGTAACTCATTGTAAGAAGAAGCTGCTAAAACACGGGAAGGAGTCTTACTCACCATTGCTGGATAAAAGAGGATAAAAACAGCGGATCCTAGGAAGCCTGTCGGTCCTAGAATAATTACATTATAAATCATGCCTAAGATGGCAACAATGGGTCCTCCAGCCAACAAGCTGCCAACGGCGGCTGCCTCAAACATCCTCTGCCCGTCGTTGGAGCACAAGTTGATGAGCTACGAGACACAGAGAGCAGTGAGAGCACCCCGCGAGGACGCTGGCCACTCAGCCACTGTCTCAGGAGGAAGAGGCAGGACAAAGCAGAGACCCAATGGTAAGACAGAGCTCAAGCTGAGAGCTTTCTCTCTGCCCTGAAGCAAACACCCCGTACTCACCTCACCCACGGACTTCTCTTTAATGTTCTTTAACTTAAGGATCTTCTTAAATGCCATAGTGAGGATGGCCCCTCGCAAGCGGACACCGGTTCGATAATTCAATGCCCAAGTCAGTGCAAGTGACCAGGAGCGCACGACTTCTGTCAGGAGGAGGCCCAGGACTAACAGCAAGCTGTACTGGAGGTTAGAGTCTGTGACCTGGGTGTATTCCAAGAGGTGTTTCACCACGAAGGCCTACAGGGAGAAACACACCCCGCCGTCAACATCTCCACAGCACCCACACACCACGCCACAGTTTTATGTTAAGTTAGAAAGAGGAAGCAGCCCCACTGTACAGTGGTACGTACGTACATACGTAAGCAGAGAAAGACCTTGAAGGACCAAATCCTACGGACTACATGGCCTGCGGGTATTTACTCAGGGCATTTCGCAGGAGATGTGTCTAATCTGAAATTTTCTTCCTTCAGGACCACCAAAACCGTTACTCTTTCTAATGTAACATAAACCTGTCCATGAGCTGAAATTAATTCTAAACACACGGTCATTAAAAAGTATATATTTGACCTTATTCCAGTATCTCCACACACTGATACATTTCTTTAAATGAAATTAAGACCTTTTTTTTTTTTGGACCGTTTCAAACGTGCTTATTTGATAAAAAGGAACAGTGTACCTACAGTTGGACTGGGGAAGAGTGAGTAGTGCATTTGCAAAACATTCCTGAAAATAAACATCAGCAGTTTAATAGTACAGAAGACAGCAAACAAAGCAGACTATCCAAAATCCAGAAACCCTCCCACGGGCCCTCCCCACTCCCCACTCCCTCCCAAAAACAAAAACATGTTACCTCAGGTAGTATATGTCTAACACCACCTGCAGTGAGGGAAGGCAGCCAGCCCCCAAGAACCACCGAGTGCCACCTCCAGCTCTGAGGTCCTGCAACGCCGGAGCACACACTCACACAAGGCACATTCAGCAACAGGATTAAATACCAGGAAGTGGGAGGTAATGTACTTTTATTGAAAATGAAAAAAATAAATAAATAAAAGTACCATCTTCAAAGAGCATCTCACAGACACTGTACAACAGGAGGAGCATTGCGGTAACATACATGGGAACATACAGAGTCGAGTTATACAAGGCTAGCCGTCTAACAGGTCATCGGGCCTCCGACTGTTGTTTTAGCTACACACAGTGGAAATACAGAATAGAACCGATATCTGTTTCCAAAGTCCGGAGTAGTACATCAAGCTGACAGCACTTAATCGATTAAGGCTCCTGAAGCTGCAGTGAGGCTGCAGTGGAGTAGATTCTCCAGGAATAAGACCTTGCTGCTAAGGAAAGAGAAAAAAACAAAAAAACAAAAAAACCCAAAAACTCCCCAAAGACGTAATTCTGCTTAAAATCACTGGCGCTATTGGTTCAGCAGGCTGTGATGAATGGCTTCTGTTCAGGACAGAATACAAAAATCTAGGCCTCAAGGAAAAGCTGGTGGGATCCTTCAGAGTCTTTCAAGTCCTTGCAGCTAAAATTGATCTTGCCAAAAATGAAATAAAACAAGCCACGACAAAAGAAAGCCAAACCAATCCCCCACCCTGAAGGAAGAAAAAAAATTAATGAGAAACCCATCCACCCAACTACCCCGGATCCTTATAGCAAAAGGTACTGTAGATGGAAGCCAGCTCTGAATGACAGACAAAAATGGAGGCCAGACACAATTGTCCTGAAGCGGCTAATACTGAATTCCAGAACCCAGATGCTCTTTGGTTAACTGGCATTTCTCATTTTTCCTGAAAGGAAATTAATACCAGATGTCCGCTAGATCCTAAGAGATCCCCACCAATCAGATTTCTGTCAAGTGCCAGCAAATAACCTGATCAAATAAATGAGATTTCAGATTCCAAGAGCTATTGTTTTCCACCTCTCCCCTCCCTCAGATTTTTAGGTTTATATCCATTGTTTGGGTCACCACTGCATACAGCTGGGTTGTTGATTTACTAGCAAGAAGATTGGCTTCTTTTCCAGTATGTAATCCAAAATGTGGAACTGAGTCACTGAGTGGCAGGGTCAAAACCCCATTTTTCCTCACGTGAAGCAACTCAGTAAGATGGCGATGCAGTAAAGCATTTTCTCACACACCTCGGCACTGATGGAACAGTCTCCAAAGGAAGGCGTGAAAGGACAGCAGGTTGTAGTTTGGGTTTCCTTCCTTCCCATACCTTTACAGTGCCATCTTTCAGCACCAGGTAATAGCATTAGTACCTCCCAGAGGTGGGGAGCCGGGGGAAGGTCAAAGACATAATGAAGGCTTACATTATGTAAAACTTTCAGAGGGTGGGGGGAAAGAGGAAACAGCAGATTAAAGAATTTCCAACACATAGGGTTTGTTTTAAAAACAAAACAAACAAAACAAAAAAAAAAAACAATTACATTTCAAACCATTTTGCATGGGATAAAGAAAAAAAGGTTTTTCATGAAAAACCCAGTGAGAATTTAGTTTTAAAAAGTTACAAACTTTTCATTTAAATGCAAACAAACTGGGAGAAAAACTCGAGATTGTCAGTATAGCTGTCTGGCTGTGGAAAGCATTCCCAGTGAATAAACATTACCTTACCTGAACTCTTGGCGAGAGATTCTGCCCAGCTTGACTCTCTCATTCTGACCGCAGAATACAGCCATCCTGAAAATTCTAAAGAACAGCTTCTGTCACTGGTTCCACTACAGAGAGACTCCCCCCAAATCCAGATCCTGACAGCACCAAGCAAGCTGCAGCTGGGGAGAGGTGGGGAGGGTGGGAAACTTACCTCTCTAGAGGCTATTCACTGCCCTTTCCCCAAAAGGCCCTGGAGCAGAGTTAGCATTCACCAAGATTTAGTGCTGCAGGAGGTAGTCTTCTCTTGCAGATCTACAGGGTGGATGCTAATTCTTTACACAAAAAAATCATAGGTCAGGCCTGGTCTTTTTAAATTGTTTGAATCCAAGGAGGTCACAACTTTAGCAAGACTTTAGCAAGTCCGGCCACTCATGTTAGGCCAGGATACTGGTTCTTCATTACATTCTGGTTCTTCGTTAACACTACTATGACCTCTGGCCACTCTGCACAGAGCTCTGGTCCACTGGCATCACTGAAACCTTGGATCATCTCAATGTACAAATGTCCAGCCAGTTAAAAAACATATACATACATTAATTTCATTGTTTCATATATTCTGCATATGGCTACCAAGGTTCAGTGAGGCCTGAGAGGAGATCAGAAATATCCCCATATTCGGGGAGTCAGTTCTTATATAGATTTCTATAAGAACAGACTGAGCCAGTTTGAAAGTCATGCCACATTAGAAAATGCAAAAAAAATCTAAAATGGATACCCCTCAAAAGGATTTAAATCCACAGAACAGAAGGTATGCTCATTGCTAGTACTAATCTCAAAACCAGCCTGACTCTTCAATTTCCAATTAAAAAGAAATTTATAAGAACTGGAGCTCCAAAAAAAGAATTTTGCTTTGCTTATAGTTTTAAATCTTTTTATCAATTAGAAAGACTATGGGTGGGATCATCGCTTTCTCAATTGTTCAAGGATGGAATCTCATAAAATAACACAGGCCTTAAGTTGCTCTTCCCCAAGAGGGTTGAGATAAGGAAAAGCATGCGGCTGTTTTCCTATTAAAGGAAGGCTCTCAGTGCTCCCTGGCATCTAGAAGAGTTTACTAGAGTTAGCAACCCAGTATGTAGTGCCTTAAAAGAGAGATGAAGGAATATGCAGATGCTCAAGGGAGTGACTGTAGGCCCCCAAACTGAACATGCATAGGTAGCTTTTGTTTCCCCAAATAAAAAATTAAAAATGTTAATAATCTATGGAATTTCTTCCCTTCCCTTTTTTTCTTTTCTTTTTTCTTTTTTTGGCATGGAGGGGGAGCCATCTTGCACTGGCCAAATGGAATCAATGAGGCCTATATACTGTGCTATCCAGCTCAAGGAATTCCACAGAAGATCCAGAGCAGCCACCAGCCCTGTAGTGAAACAATGACAGAAGCTCTTCTTGGGGGAAGCTGGTCCTATGAAAACGTTTGCCATCTTGGTCAATAAAATAATATTCAGTTACATGGTCTCTCTTACTTAAAACTTATACAAAAGTGTGTTAGTTGGTCAATTAACATAGAAACCTAATACCAGGAAAGTAGTTTTCTCTGCTTCAGAAAAGAGATCAGAACTTTTAAAAAGGCATCAAAAATAAACAAAAAAACAAAAAAACAAAAAACAAACAACAATAACGACAAAAGAAGAACACAGAAAAACTGCAAATTAGTTTTACCTAATCACCATGCATCTTAGGCAATATACTTACCAAAACCATGAACCTCCAGCTTACCCACACATGGAAAATGCACAGTATAAGTAGCACTACTGCTCCGATGCCTCAAGGCAAATATGCAGAGAATAGATTTAATCAAAGTCTCAAGTGTAAGGAAGCACAGCAGGTGTAAGAAACAGGTGTTCAGAGAACAGCGTGAACATCACTCTCTTACCTACTCTGCTTCAGTACACACTAGGAAAAAACCATGGCTACCACCCCGACACCTACCACACAGTTTACACTGTAAACCAAAACTCACAACAGACTCCAGGTTAGACTCTAAAAACCTCAACACTCCTCTAGTTTCTTCAGGCTCATATGCCACAGAACCACCAAACATGTGACAACCCTGCCTCCGGGCATTTGGTGTGTCACTGACTCAGCCACCTATGCCACACAACGCCGCTCTCACCCACTCACAGCACCGCGAGACACCATCTCCCCAAACCAAGACTGTCGTTTCATGTCGACACACAGCAAAGAAGCACAGTCCTGCACAGAGCCAGAATCATTCATTTTCACCCGCCCCAGGAAAGCGAGCCACATCCAGCTCTCCTCTGGCAACACGGCCCCTCATCCTTCCAGCGGCTGGCAAGCCACCATTCACTCCAAATCAATTGTTCCCTGTCAACAGACCTAGAGGCATCTCTAAGGCTGCTAACTAGCCCAAAGGTGAGCACAACCCCTGCAACAGAACAAGAGTGTTAGAGCTGGCCATGGCTGGGCCCCTGGAGACTGTCAGAAAGGATGGTTAGAACTTACTGGTCCACTGAAGCCAGCCAGCTGTGTGATCATCAGGCACACGATGGAGAGGATGAGCCTGGTGCGGCAGAAGATCCACACAACCCTTCGGAGGGAAGCAGCGTCTGGCCCAACTTCATTCAGCTCTTCTTGCCACAGTCTCTCTAGTCTTAACAAGGGCACACGTCCTCGTTACACATCTCCACAGGTGAACATACACTCCCTAGATTCCCTCCTGCATTGCTTTTTGTCTCCAAGCTTTGACACCACTTACGCGAGCCTCTCCTTTAAACTACGTACACAGACTTCACCTTCCAGGAAAAAAATGTCCTTCCTGGGTAACTACATATTTACCCTGTATAGGAAGCCACTCACGATATAGAAAATGATTAGAATAAAAGTCCTTCCTCCCCTCCCCCCGAAAAATATCCCTAAACAGAATTTGTTCGTGGCTAAGAACTTCCTTTCTCAAGGGTCCCCAACCCTTTCTGAAGAATCCTGTAGTCAAATGTAAAGTTGTAAGCTAGATTTTAATCATGATAATCAGCTACCACAAAAATGTATTCTGTCACAAGGCAGCAACATAATTTCCCTGTCGACTCAGGAAGAGAAGCGGGGCTGAGAGAGAGAGAGAAAGCCCGTGGTTAAAACAGGATTAAAGGTGAAATAGGAGATAAAGCAGAAGAGCAAAGAGAAAGTCATCCCCAGGCTACCCTCCCTCCACAGGACAGCTCAGATCCTAAAAGAACACAGAGCTGAGGGCGTCACACTGCCAGACCCACCCTCCTAGCTCAGGCCTATGCACCCAGTATGTGGGAGACCAAGGCGGACCGGAGACGCCTACCTTCTGCAGTTCACATCGGAAGACTCGTGTTTGGACAAAGACCACACGTCCTCCATTGAGAGCTCCCCCTTCCTGTGGGCCGTGCGGGCCAGAGGAGAGAGCCAAGAAAAAGTCATGCAGGAGAAGAGCCCAGCATTGTCCACTGGGTGCTGGTGTCTAAGGAGAGAAAACCCAAAGCACAAAATTGTCAGTGCACACAGACAGGCTAGCCAGCATTTCTAACACACTGTTTAGCAAACGGTTCTGGACTATACATGGGTCTTCCCAAATGGTCTAATCTTAGCCCAAATTTTCAAAAGTGCTTTTGGTGCTTTACAGGGAAGTCATTAACTGGCAGAGCCTCTTACTTGGAAGTGGTCCGGATGGGCTTCAGAGCACTTAAGCTATGATGGTACTTTCCCTTGGGATGTTCCTCATCCAGGATTCTGAGCTGAGAATGCATGGAGGCATCCAGGGAAAGGCCCTCAGCTCGGGCTGCTGTTTCCAAGGCATCTTGGCATTCCAGCTGTTTTAACAGATGGAGAGGGCAGAGGCACACTTAATGAACATTAGAAAAACAGAGGGGTAAATCTACCTGACATAGTAGCTCAGACTGCAAACCAGATTCATCTTACCTGAGAAACCCCAAGACTCAGGGTTAAACACTAACTTGTATGATAAGAACTTGCTAAGGAACGTTAAACCAGCTACGTAAAACTTCCAAACTCTTGAGCACTTCTAGGTTCAGAAAAATTGAACAAAAAGTACAAAGAGTTCCCATATACCTCCTCCTCTCCCCATCTCTTCTCCATCTGTTTCCTCCATTAGTAACAACCTTCCATTAGAGTGGTGCATTTGTTACAGTTGATGAACCAATACTGATATGTTACTATTGACTAAAATCCACCGTCTACATTATGATTCACTCTTTGTGTTGTACATTCTAAAATCTATACATATTTTGAAGTTTATTGTATTTATTTTTGAGAAAAAGAGAGTGAGCAGGGGAGAAGGGCAAAGAGAGAGGGGGAGAGAGGGAGAGGGAGAGGGAGAGGGAGGGAGAGAGAGAGAGAGAGAGAGAGAGAGAGAGAGAATCCCAAGCAGGCTCCATGCCCTGAGCCAAAACCAAGAGTTGAATGCTTAACCAACTGAGCCACCCAGGCACCCCAACACGCTTCTAAATAATATGAATTAAATATATAAAATGGAAATTAGTGAATATTCTGAACAAAATGCTAAGAAATTATAGGACATCCAAATTTGTGAGGTGGGGCTAAAGCAGACCATAGAGTGAAACTGTGAACACTTTAAAATCATATATCAGAGGGGCACCTGGGGAGCTCAAGTCTGTTAAGCAATTGACTTCGGCTCAGGTCAAGATCTCGCGTCATGAGTCTGAGCCCTGTTTCGAGCTCCATGCTGACAGCATGGAGCCTGGAGTCAGCTTCGGATTCTGTGTCTCCCTTTCTCTC